TTAACCAACGAATGCGTTGAATTTTATGGTGAATATAAAAACTCTCGTGGTAGGAATGAGCTGATGGGGCAACGTCTGAAAAAATACTGCTCGCGAGGATGAGTCTTGATATCCTTGTTGTAAATTCAACCTTATCGTTCATCGTGGATCGAGGTTCACGGAAGAAAAAAGCGAAAAATCGATGAAAGAAAGAGAAAGAGAGGGGCAAGAGGGGGACACGATGGAAGAAGAAAGACAGGAGGAGATCTTTCCCGAGAAATCGTGCGAAAGTTTCGCCTACGACGACGGCATAAACACGTCGTTACGGATTACAAGGAGGAACCGATTCCACGAGTATCCTGCCTAATCGTGGGGTGTTCCTCGTGATTCATGAATAAAATATATGGGCGCCGGCCACTCGACTACAAGTACCCTGGCTAAGTGCCCTTCTAGGAGAAGACTATTAACTGATACATCATAAACTGTCGTTTATGGCGTCATCGGTGTATTATTCACGAGCCAGCTCGGCAAGACAATGGCGCGATACTTAACAGGTGTAATGAATTCCTTTAATGAATCCTTCGTTGTGATATTTACGATGACAAACGTGAGAATCTAAAGAACGTTAGATAATAATACTAACAATGATGTTGCATTTTTATTGATTGCACATAATCCATCTAACAAGTGGCGAATGAAAGATAGGAAATGGTTAACGATGCGAATAATGCATCGAATAATAAATCTACATCATGTATTAAATTAAATCAATTATAAAAATATCTATTTTTTTTTTTATCTACTCGAAGAGCAGCGTTAAACGTTGATTAATAACAACAAACGTGGTTATTCGTGAATGACACGTCGTAAGTACGACACCGGCATTAAGGAACTATCGATTGCCGCGAGTTAACGTTACAGTGCAAATCTGTTGTCTGGCTTGCACAATGATCTTCACGACCGTTTATATACCAGACGAGATGGCAGATCACGATGCATAAGTATCCTGGCATACGATGCTGCGAGGAAAACGTTGTTACCATAATGACTGTAATATTATGACACCGAGCTATGGCAGGTTCGTGTTTATCAGTGATCTGCAGTTGCACTCGCTAAATGGGCGCACACAACCAAGCAAACGATCGTGTGTGCGATCACACTATAAATTGCGATTATATCGTACATACTGTAAAGCATTTAGAGCATTTTTTCTCTCGGTGATTAAAGTAATCAGCAGGTTCGTCGTGACGATAGAATTTTTTGTGCTCGCTGAACGAGTGATTATCTGGATTTTTTTTATCGTATTTTCTTTTTTCTTTTCTCCCTTTTTCCCCTTTTTTTTCTCGACTTGTTTCTCTCCCTTTTTTTTTTATCAGTAGGAACGTTAAATTTGCTTGTGAAGGGAATCTAATCTAGTGTTTGCGGCGACGCGTGTTTGCATTGATAAACTTCCGCGATAATGTTTGTCATTATCGTTATCGACGGATAGGCCGAAAGCGCGGTTGAAACTTTAATGCACCTCGGCCGTTTACCAACTGGATTATCTTGTCGAGTTCCGGCAGAGCTGTGCAATTACATTCTACTTTACTGTGTTTTCTTCTACTTGCCCTGTTTTTTGTATCAACGTTGCAACGGTTTAACACGATAATTACATAATTTTAGCTGATTTCACGGTCATAATTGTACTTAATACCAAACACAGAGACTGTTTAAAATACCATCAAGCTCCAATTACCTGTATTATACAAATTTTATAGGTCGGTATAAAAATCAACTAATATACTAGCGTACATTAGAACCGTCCACTATAGAAATTTATCGCGTCAATGACACAAAAATGAATTGCAACAGGAACGCTATCAACCGTGCAGCAACCGTTCCACTCAGTTATTACATAATTTTAACGGATTTCACGATAATAATTATACGCGTTATATCGAACGCTCAGACTGTTTAGAATACCATAGACTAATTTATTTGATAAAAGTTATTTTCAAAATCAGAAATTTCAAAATGTTATAATATATTCGTATAATATATTAGTAAAATATATTATATTTCGTAAGTCTGTATCTATATCTTTACAACTACACACGGAAACATTTACATGTAATTTAATGGTGCCTATAAGACGGTATCCGGTAAGACGAGTAGCAACGAAGAAAGTTTATCCTCGAGGAAGAGCATCCAGGGGGTCTCAGGTATACGTATACCTCGAGCGGCAAGTCACATTCCAACCGTGTGTGCGCGTTCCGATTTTCGCGTGCAGAACTCTCCCTTGACGCTGTGGGCTGAAACGGTAGGAAGGAAAGAGCAGTCGCCCCGTGGCACGTGGCGGCCACGTATTTCAATAATAGCAGGAATTAAAGTCCAGCGGGGCTGGTCGAGTTGGGAGGAAGGGTTCGTTTAGCCGGCCACCCGTTCCGTTTTCTTCTCCTTTCCTACCCACTGCCCTTTTTTCCGTCTTCGTCTCCGAGGCCGCAGTTCTTCCACTTGACTCCTTTTTTTTCCTGCCCTTCTTCTTCTTCTTCTTCTTCTTCTTCTTCTTCTTCCCTTCCGGGACACAATCGGATTCTAACGCGTGCCCGCATGCGGCAGGCCCACCGCGACACCTTTTACCTCGCTTTCTTGCGGACATCACGCGCGTTCCTTCTCTTCCTTCCTTCCTCGATGGCGCTCCTTTCAGCCCCCGCCATCACCGACATCCAGGTAGCGCTACTCTAGCATCCTGATTATGCCACCGACGATCCTGAACACGATGGTTAAACTGCCACCTACCCCGTTACTTCGCTTTACTCAGGTAGCCACGAGATTTTTATTGCGACAGGTTGACCCATTGATCTGCTTCTATGGCCGTTCCTTTTCATTCTTTTATTTGGATTGCTTTTTTTCTTTATTTTGTCCTTTTTTCTTTTTTTTTCTTTTTCCTTCCTTTTTTTTCCCTTGGTCTTTTTCTGTGCAAGATGTCTCGAGTCGTGCGCGATCATATGAAGGAATCGTGTTCCTGAGGTTGTGTCTCGACAACTTTATTCCTTGTGACCTCGTTCAACTGGCGTCCTCGTTCGACTCGATCTGAACGCCGGAACAACTTTATCGCAACAGGTTGCATCGACCGTCTATTGACCCTGGTAATTCAAATTCCAATCGGTTCGAGTGCAATAACGCGGGACTCGCTTATCTCCGAAGCTTTGTCCCATTGTTTCCGATATTTGGTCACGAAGAATTCCGCTCGAAATTATAAGCAACGTTTAATTAGATATATTAATTAACCTTTAATTAAATCGAAGCTATAATAGATTTTTAGTTTAGTTATAATTGTACATCGATGGAAGAAGAATTACATAGGAGTTAACCGATGAATTAATAACTAACGAAAATCCTGTATTCGAGTCAATATTGTACACATATGTGTCTAAAAGTACTACGTAATACGATCTTGAATCCACATCCTACACAGTAAACGTATTAAACAGTCCAAACACGAAGCGAAACCCTTCAATAAACCATACTACTCACCCAGAAGCGCCTCGGACGCAACGAAGAAAAATGGTTATTCCCTGCAATCAAGGTCGATCAATTGCCAAGAGATTTATATAGCGGACATCATATTCTTATCACATTTCTGTAATGACCTCGAATCCGTGTCGTGAGCTATGGGGATGGCGGTGTGTACGCGCGTATACACACATGCATAGACATCATACATATATACGCGTACGCAAGTAGAAGAGGCGGGAGTTCCCTTGGCGGAAGAAAAATTGAACGGGCGCCTCGGAGCTTGTTCCTGGAATTGAATCAAACAAGTGTTACCACCCTCTTCGAGTATAATATATCTTCTAACATTCTGCAGAGGGACCGAGACGGATAGCTGCTGGCCTGTTCCAGGATATACCTGATCCCACGTAGAGATCTACGTCCGTTTCGAGATTTTCTTTTTGCGTCCCGTGTTGCACGCCCCCAGGACCGAAATTGATGTTTGTACTGCTCAAAATCGCCGAGATACCCCATTCCATTTTCCTCTCTCTCTCTCTCTCTCTCTCTTTGTTCTCCCTTCTCCTCTACGCGGTGTCACCGCTTCGAGAATGTTAAAAATGATTTCGTGAGAATGTATGACGCCGCTCGGACCTGGCTGAACGATGATGTACACCCTCCGGTTACTTTGTCGGTCGATATAGCTCTGAACTGTTCGTTTATTGACTTCTTCAACTTTTAATTTGCCGCTGTTCTTTTTATCGAATCCAATGAGTCATCCATCGCTACACCGCGTTAAGGACAGTTTATAGACTGAAACTTTATCTATCCGAACTCGTCGAAGGGCAGACAATTCCGTGTATTAGTTTCACAGAAGTTTGACCAGCTCTATTCTCCGTGAAAATTCTAATTTTGCTACGATTAGTGTTCGATTTTCGAGGAACAAACTAGTTAGCTGCGTAAGTTTCTTTAGTTCAAACGACAGCAGAATTTTCCCGATTAAACTGTATCGATATCACGTTCGTAATTAACAGTTGAATATAGTTAAAGAACATGTTCCACCGCGCAATTCGACAAATGTCTACTCTGCCTCGTTATTTTCTTGAAAGATGCAGAACACGAACCAACGACTACACGTTTTGCAAAAGGTGCAGTATACTATGTAAAACTGAATCACGGCGACGAAAGAGTGAATCACTCGTATCCGACGATAGGAGAGAGGACCTTGAGCGATCAATTGGTATACCGAGCAAGGCATCGTTTTTGGCTGTACGTTTTCCATGGTTGAAGATCACCTTTGGCGTGGTGAGGACGAAAAAGCGGCGCACTACGCGTGTCGCGGCCGTTCCCGTTGACAAGCATTATCCTTTCACGCGATCACCTTTGACTGACAAACCAATTATTCGGCACTCAGCACTGACGAGCCAACTATTTTATCAATCAGCGCCGCCGGGCCTCCTCGTGGGCAGAAGAAACGACGATGTCTTGCGTACCAGTGGGGATCGAAGGAGGAGAAACAACCAGAAGAGAAAGGAAGAAGAAAGACGGTGAACAGAAGCGAGAAGAGAACGGAGAGAAGAAGCGCGGGTGTTCCTCGCCGGAGAGAGCTATAATAGCACGAAACATAATCCCCGGGTGAATCTAACGAGTCCTGTAAGAGCGAGCTGGACCAACGAGGGACGAAGAAGATGGTAGAAAATAGAGATAGAGTTAAGGAGTTTGTTCTTGGCTAGACAGAGAAGAAGAAAGTTTTTCAGGTGTGAGAGACGAGTAAGAATACGTGACTGCAGGACGAGCAAGAGGAAGGAAGATAGTCGAAAGAGTGTAAGATTGAAAGTCAGAGAGGAAGAGGGGAAAGCGGTTCGGCGCCTCTCCGATCATTCTTCAGTCTAGCGCAACGACTCATCGGCTTTTTTTGCCGCTGCGGCTCCGAAGAGACGTTCAAATTGCTCTAATGGCGGACCAAAGAGGAAAGTTATGCCCGACAGGTACTTATCTTTTTCCCAAGTTCGTGTGTCTTTCGGTACCAACCCTCCCCGTTACCACCTTTTGCTTCCACGGTCTCGTGTTAGCTCTGCTCACGAAACGACCACGGCTTATCGATGGAATCGTCGAGCATTCGTGATCTTTTAAAGATACGTTTCCTTTCGGGGGAACTGTGTTTACTGCTTCCTGGACCGTACACAAAGGAAGTTATATCGAAGGGTCGTATACGAAGAACGTGGCAATTGCGAGAATTTTTCTTATTTATTTTAGACGATCGATCGTTTACTATACAAGAAGCGATATTTAGTTTACGAACTTCGAGGCTCAAATTGTGTGCCAATGTATCGAGAGTGCCACGAGTCACCAAACGTGGCGCCAACAATTTTTATTTTTTATTAAAATTTCTAGTAATCGGTCTATTCGTGAGAACGTTAGTTGGTCAGAAAACGCATGCCCACCGTAACGAGAACCTAACGCCATTTTACCGTGGTCACGAGTTCCGTGGCCCGCGAAATCGTTTAGACAACAACAGACAAGAGGAGTTCGTAGCGGAATCGAAGCAGCGCGTAACTGAAAATTGAGATAACAAAAGAACGGAGTGGCCCGTTCTCTTGGTGTAATTACGGCCGGTCGTGGCGG